ATACAAGGGAAAACTTCTCTGACATCTAATGTTTATAAAAATCACATTGACCTTTGATATGCTACAACTATCATATGTCAGCTACTAGGGTAGGCCCTCCACCTACAGGCAAAGATGATGTCTGTATAGCATACTGTAATCCGACTCCTAGGGCCTAATCCATGATAGACACTCACTATTGGTTAAATGGAAGGTAAGATGGGCAGGTGGGTGGGTCAACAGATGAACAGCTATGCAGGTAGCTTAAAGGAAACAAGAATGGATGGATGCTAAGAAGGATGGATGGATATGACAAATGAACATGTTGGTGGACAGCAGAGGGTCCACTTACATGGAAACTCTACAGATCATAAACTGTCGAGAATATCAGCTCTTGCTTCCTCCCATTTCTTCTTCCCAGTGTTCCAACTGGACCCAAACCAAAAAAGCCTAGAAGGAGCTAGAGTGAGGATATTGGTTGAACTGGAGAAACTGAAGTTTGCCAGCTTCCAATCTGTCCTGGTAATGTCACACAGGCAGAAGAGATTCTTGGGAGGAATAATATTTATTATCATGCTGGCTTCTGCCAAGACCCCAGGCAAAATTCCAAAGGCCACAGCATGTCTTTGCCAGGATCTCTTCCTTTCTAAGGCTCTGTGCCTTCCACGCAGAGCAGCTTTCAAAGCAACTTCATCTCTCCAAATTCCTTCATCTTGGGCTACCTCCTCATAGCCTTATTACCGTGGAGCCTTGTTAATTTAATTTATACTAATGTGTGAATGATGGTTAACATTCCTATAGCATTATAAAATAAAGCTATAGCATTTCAAATAGCTCCCACTGGTAGAGAAGCAAGGAGACATTTTCCAGGGAAGAACTCCAGAAGTCTGTCCAGAAGATGGCTCAGCAGGTGTCAGAGCTCACTGGGCAAACTTGATGACCTTCACTCAAACCCAAATAAAAGCTGAAGAGGAGAATCAATTCCACAAAGGTGTCTTCTGATCTCCCTGCATATGCCATAGCACATGCAACATCCCCTTATACACACATATCACCCACAGAGTGATGACAATAAACAAATTAAAATTTTCAAGACTTTATCAATGCACCCCATTAATGTCCTACTCGGCCACAATGTGACTTCTTGAACAGTTTCTCTGCATTGAAATATCATGGCTTCTAATGGCTTCCAGAATTCCACTTCCTCCTACCTCTCTGCTAACATGCCCCATGCTCCCAGTTCCCTGTAAAAAAAAAAAGTTGGATGCAACTGTTCATGGTATCCTATGCTTCCCATCAGGGCAACGCCACACAGGGTCACCACTGTGGATTCTATCTAGATCTTCCCCGCTAGACCTCACAATCTCTGAGGGCAGGATACCTGCCTGCACCCTGCCAACCACAGGAGGCTGGAGCCTAAAGAAGGTATTGGGTGGAAAAGTTCAGTCATAAAAAAGTTATACACACAAAAAATGTATATGAAAATTATATACATTTATATTTGTGTATGTCCCATTACAGAGGTAGAAATCATAGCAATGGAAAAACCTAAAAAGAGCAGCCATAGGGTCATCTGTGCTCTTGATTTAAAGCCTGGCCTTCCCAAGCTCTTGGTTTTCCATATGAAGAAAACATGGGAGAAGCATTCTTTTTTTTTCCCTTAAAGTCTAGCTCACTGATCTGGAAACCTGGGTTTTTTTTACTGATGCAAATTTTACAACCATTTCAGGTCATCCTTGAAAAAAATTACTCAATTCAGACTTCTCTGCAAGACGCTCACCATCCCCACTGTGACCATCCTTGACTTGATCACCTCCAAACCACACAGTGTTCTCGTTGCAGTACAAAATCCCAAGGATGGACCATGCTAATGACTGCCAGGGAGAGGGAGCCTGCTCTACCGAGCTGAACTCCAAATCAGTATAATGAACAGTGCACATTCTGACCATGACCATGACAGAACCAAGGAAATCATGAAAATCAGAACTAGAATGTGGTCACATTTTAAAGAAAAAGGCCCAGCACTGTCTGTGGGAGAGAGAACTGTTATCAGAAAACAAACTCCCACACAACTGAAACTCTAGAACTTAAGAGGCCATCATATATAAACAGCAAATTCCAAAGGAGCAATGTGATTTGCTACTTCATAATTGTATGTTTAGTTTTATATCCATCAATTACATTTTTACATCCTATGTCCATATGTGCTTTTCTTTCTTACAATTAAGTCTTCCAGCTCCATTCATTCAGTCCCCAGAAAGAGTTTCCTGAAGGAGGTAATGAGGCCATTACTGCCCCCATTTGAGTCTTCTGTCAGTTAAAGAAGGAAAATTAAATACATACAGAAAGCAAAAATGGCTGGGTGGTGGTGGCCCATGCCTCTATTCCCAGCACTCAGGAGGCAGAGAAAGGCGGATTGGAGGTTAACCTTGTCTACAGAGCTAGTTCCAGAATAGTCAGGGCTTCACAGAGAAAAAAAAAACTGTCTAGAAAAACAAAACAACAACAACAACAAAAACAAAACAAAACAAAAAATAGAAAGTAAAAGTGGACAGGTTTTATCATTAAGCATTACTGTTATAAGATATTTAGGTAAAAGTAAACTCGGAAGTGATGCATGGCGGTGCATGCCTATGATCCCAACACTCGGGGAGGCTAGGATAGGAGGGTCGTGAGTTTGAGGACAGTTTAGACTACATAGCTTAATTAAATAAAATTGACAGATGTAATTCTTTACATAGAAAGTAAATAGTATTACAATACAAGCTAAATTTTTTTATTTATTATTTTTATTTTATTGTATTTTTTGGTTTTTCAAAAGCCCTGGCTTTCATGGGACTCACTCTGAAGACCAGGCTGGCCTTGAACTTAGAACTCAGAGGTCTGCCTGCCTCTGCCTCCCAAGGTGATGGGATTAAAGGCATGCATCATCACTGCCTGGCCCCTGCAAACTGATTGTTTTTATACAAATCTGACTTACAAAAAATATACTGTCATTAGGTGTGATGGTCACTCCTGTGATCCCAGAACTCAAGAGACAGAGGCAGGAGGATCTGGAGTTGAAGACCAGCCTCAGCTCTACAGTGAGTTCCGAAGCTACAAGACATCTTGCCACAAGAAAGAAAGAGAAATGCATTTGCCATTTTACTTATTGCTGTAAGCAGGACTCACAGCTCAGAGCCTCTGCTTAAACATTGCATCTGTCCCTCAACACTTTCCAGCTTGGAAATTGGAAGTTTAGGCTTGTTCATGTTTGTTTGTTTGTTTGTTTTTGTTTTTTGTTTTTGTGCTTTATAACAATGAAACCAAAGCGCATTACTTTATGCCATCCACTCTCATTCCCCCAGCCCATGCCTCCCATCCTCTCAGCCACATCTCACGATAGCTGTCCTGAAGATTCCACTGGTCCTCGCTTGGCTCTTGGCGCAACCTCCCTTTCCTTCCTGGGATATTAGTAACAAACATGGAGCTGGGCTCCTGCTCCTTTAGTCCTGGACCGAGTGTATGTTCTGCTGACCATGGTCCTTCTAACCACACTGGACACCCTATAAGGCTAGCTGCCAGTGATGCATGTGATTGCGCCTCTCCATTCCTGATACCCCCAGCACCCATCAATAGTACCCTCAGAGCAGGTGGCTGGCACACGTGTTTGAGGCAAACCTTCCTCCACCTATCCTTACAAAAGCAATGCACGTTCTCAGACAGGTGATCTCAATTGCCACCCCTACCTGCAAGATAACAGGTGGATAATAATAAACCTTCGTTTCCTTTTACTGTATCTACTTTTTGCAGCGCTGACCCTTGAACTTGCTTCCATTAGGCGATATCACCTTCACTTGAGGCTACAGGGCACCTCGAGGGCTGGTGCCGCCCACAGGATAATTAGACCGGGCATTTCCTCCTGCAGTGTTGTGTTAACACTCCTGGCCAGCTAAGCTTTCTTGCCAGGGCTTTTCAACTGGGCTTCTCCAGGCCCTTACTTCCAGGCTGAGATGTTCATTTTTCTATGAGTTCGGGGCAAACCAGCGTCTCTGCCACAAACCAACCCGCTTAACTAAACCAAGCCAGTTGGAGTTAGAGGCAGCGCTCTGGTGTGAAAATGAACTTTCTGGTACTTAACTGTTCAACACCACCACCACCACCACCCCCCCACACACACACTCACACACACACACTCCACATGACAGCGTGTCTCACAGAGCAACTGTGAGAACTTGTAGCCTGGCCCCACATGCAAGAATTCCTTTCTGGGAACTGAAATGCTGCTTCCTTCTGTCCTTTCCCAAACAGATCCACTCTAGACTTTCTAGAAGGATCTACCTTCCTTTCATCTGGATCAATGAGTCAAACTTGTTATACCACAGATCCCAAAAGCATACTCTGAAGTCGAGTTACCCCATTTGTTCAGCACCCCATCATCCCGGAATACCTCAGCCTAAGGAACCTGTCTCATGTGAATAGGCACCTGCTTTGTGTTTAATTCCCCCAACTCTTACCCCCAGGTTAATGGTACATGTCTCAGTAGCAGGGAACTGAGACCAGCAGGACCTGAATTTCCCTTCTCCTTCAGGAATAGCCACCCATTCCTCTTGAAGTTTATCAAAACTCAGGGGGAAAAAAGTAAAGAAAAAGAAAAAAGAAGGTTGAAAATAAAGCAGACGTAACCCATCTTTTTGGTATTCTTCAAATGCAAACACTACTAGAGGCATTCGGATTTTCCAGTGGTCACCAAAAGCAAGCACCCATTCCTTGCCCAGGACCTGACCATCAAGCCCACATACAACAGGGTGCTGTGTGCCTGGCTCAGAGTTGTCTAGATGCAGAATCTGACTGACCAGCTCTTAGTGACGCCAGGACGGACAGAATACATAGATAACGCAGCAAATAGAAGAGTCCCAGACACCCCAAACACCCTGGTCTCTCAGTTGTCGCCTAGACTATCTGCTGAGCCACTGCAGAAGCGCCAGGCCTGGTCCCCCTCCCGCCGCGCCCCCAAGGCGGCCCCGGCGGCGCCTCCTTACCTTGCGCGAGTACGGGGGCTTGCTCAGGTGGATGCCATCTCGGACCAGCTTATCCCGGATCATGATCTTCAGCTTCAGCTTGGGGTAGCTCACCAGCTCCCTGCTGCCGGGAGCGCTCGCCTGGCCACGGGGGTCCCCGCGAGTACCCTGGGCCGAGCCGCCACATGGCTCCCCCCGGCGGCCTGGGGGCACGGCGTCCACCTGCGGTGCGGGTGGCACCGGCTGCGGCTCGAGCGTGAAGTAGAGGCCGGCGGCGGCCGCGTCCTGTTCCCGCAGCCGGCGCACAGCCTCCAGGATGCGCCGGCGGTGCGCTGGAGCCAGCACCCCGATGGCGTCCAGGTCCGGGTCTCCGATCTGCTTGCACACTTCCAGGTCATCGTAGCCATTATCCACGAAGGACTCGGCGTACTGCGGGAGCTGTAACGCTTTCAGCCACTCGTAAACTATGTTGGTGCACATGGCTGAGACTAGGAACTCGCCGGCGAGTACCCAAGTGGCCCTGGCGGCACCAGTTCTTGGAACTTTTAATCCTCTCCTGGAAGGGGGTGGGGAGAAGAGACAGCTGGAAAAGTTTCTTGCTTAGTGGCGAGGCTCCGGCCGCAGAGCAAAAGCCATGGGAAGCAGCCTGGGAGAGAGCAAGCGTGAGCGAGAAGCGTCTAGCAGCGGCGAAGTGGATTCCCCGAGCAGGCGCGGCGCTCGCGGGCACTGGCGGCTGGGCGAGCGGCTCGGCTCCGCGCCGCCCCTGGATGCGCGGCCTCCGCGGGGAGGGGCGCGCGGGCGGGGCCGGGCACACCCCTCGCACCCGCGCGGGTCACCGTCGCGCCGCGCCGCCCGGGAGTTTCCCCAGCCCGGACAGTCCGGAGGCTGCGCGCTGCATGTCGCTTTCTGGCCCCCGCCGTGGGCGTCTGCACCCGCGTCCCACGCGGGGGAGGTGGCTCCGGCCGGCAGACCCGGGGATGCGGGCGAGCTCCTGGTCTGCGCGCGTGTCAGTCACTGTCGTTCCCGGGGTCACAGTGACCCGGCGGTTATTAAGCTTCCGGACTCCGGTGGCTACCTTTGATATCTTTCGACATTTCTGTTGAATCCGACTTCTTTAAACCCTTAGATTTCTCTTCGCTCAGTTCCCAAGCCTACAGTGACTCTCGCCAGCGCGTCCAAGGGCAGGTCCCCGCCACCTCATTGGGCTGAGCGAAGCTGTTAAGTCCAGTGTCCCTTTTCCCTTCTCGGTGCACGTAGAATGTCCCTTCCAAGGAGCCTGCTGCCAGTCTCGAGTCGCACGGTGTGTCTGCCTCTGTGATCCCGCGCTCTGTGCCCTGAGCAGCAGCGTTTCGGCAGCAGGGTGGGCGCAACGTGGGGACCGTCCAGCCCGATGGGCGCGCAGCCCCTCCTCGCTACAGCTAGTCACGCTGGGTGCTCATCGGGAGGGGCACGGCTGCTCCTGGCTGCCTTGCCCTTCCAGGACCATCAGATCTGCGAAAGTTTGGGATGGGCTGTTACTTTCTTCTTGGCCAGCGCATCCCTACCTGGTCTCCATAACCCACCCACCCGCATCCTGCCACACACACACCGCGTTGTGTCAGACCCCCTCGATCTCGCCTGCCTTCTGCTTTTTCCCCCGCCTCTCATCACAATCATTCTACCCCGGGTGGGTGGCTGCATGCCCAGGGACATGTGAGGTTTTCTGCCTCGGAGACAGGGATCACAGCAGACTCTCCCTTCTCTGCCCCAGGATCGTGTGTTAATCGATACACCACCATGCAGCTTGCTTTAAAAAGAACGTTAGGGCATCTAGCACTTTCTGTCTAGATGAGAGCAACAAAATCAACCGAGATTCCCCCTGGTGCCAATGTCCCAGCTTTGAAGGTGTGGGGCGGGGGACCCGAGTTCCTGGCCAGCGTTTCCCTGGCTCTGATCTTTTGGGAAAAAGATAAAACCTTAAGAAACGTTACAGGCGGCAACAATTTCCTCTCTTTTCACAGAAGTAAGAGCCAGGTTCACTCTTGAGCTAGTGTTTGAAGACCTGACCCAAACCTTTTTCCTGGAGTCCTCATGGGGCCTTGACTGTCTCTTGCCATGACATTGATGGGTGAGAACTAGTGGTTTTAGTGTCATTTCCCTATCTTCAGGGCCTTAGGTTGTGGGGAAGGGATTATCTGTGTTTCTCTTCCTTTAAATTAGCGTAGCCCCCTTGGAACATGCACACTGAGAATCAGATGATATTTTTACGGTCTGGAAAATACCTGTTATAGATGCACCTAAAGTGCTCCCATATTTCTACAGTTGCGGGAGGAGGGGCGGGGGGGGGGGGGGGGGGTGGCTGGATGTCTCCGTTCCCAAGCTCCTGGACCCAAGAATCTCACATTGAAAAAGAGCTACCAGAAAGGACCTTATATTTGGGAAGAGGAGAAAGACAACGCGGGAAGTTGTGGAGCTGTATCTGTCCCTAGCCCTATATTACCTGAATTGCCCTTTCCAGAGCCTGGATTAAGGTCCTCCTCCAGTGCAACGCTCTGGGTAGCACCCGACCCTCCCTATCTAACACAGATCTTAGTTAGCCTTCTGTGCCTTGCCAAAGCAAGCTCACAGTGCCCCCTCGTGTCCAAGTGCTGGAATTTTAAGGCGTTGCCCAAGTCCCAAACTTGTTTTGTTCAGCAGAAGGAAGAGGGCTTTGTGGTTCCCTAGTCACCTTAAAGTACAGACGATGTCCTCACAGATACCTCCGCATCTCAGTGCTTTGTCAGGAAAACTTTTGTGGTTTTGGAGAGGCGAATATTCCAGTCGTTTCAAAATAATTCTGCTGCAAGGGAACAGAAGCGATCATCAGATACCCACTTGGAAGTTGGTATCGTATGCCAGGCATCTCCATGTATGTCTAAATATATGTGGTACATAAGAGCACTATCCGCTAGCTTCCAGGAAAAGACGATACATCTCTGAAACATTCACTCCGCATTTGTTCACTATAGAGTCAGGGGGTAGAGAACTATGAAGAGGGAAACTCAGGGCCAGGCTTCCAGCTACTGGACTTCCAGATCCCCAACTGCTCCTAGAGAGTAACAAGCAGAAAACATCGGGCTAGTTGTAAAAGCTTAGTCTCTTATTTATTCTTGATTTTTTTTTTAAAAAAAAGGAAGCTTAAAGCTTTTGAGCTTATTGCCATGGTTTTTCTTTCCCAAGTTGTGTGAAAAGTCCAGTAACATTACTTAATAGTCCTTCACCTTCTCAAACACAGCCTCTTCCCCTCAGGGAGCTTCAGGGCATTCATTTTGTCCCCGTTAATCTTCAGCGAGCCAGTGAGTATTTTTATTTCCATTTTACAATTAGGGAAACTGTATTGGAGGAAGATGGATGGCTTGCCCAAGGTCATGTGGTAAATCAGGATAGAGACAAGAACAAGCCTCTCCTTCTCCGTAGGCAGCCGGAATTCTCCCTTATTTATGGTCAGGGCACTGCCCAATTGGGAAATAAAGCATCTCTCTCAGGAGGGGATGGCTTTTATAAATTAATCAGTCATAAATAAAATCTCCTGGCTTTTGACTTCTCACTTTCCTCTATTGCACACTTTCCCCGTGCTTGCTCAAGTCTCTGTGTGAAGCTGAGAGAATTCTATGCCTCCGCCACTGCCATAGAGAGACTCTTGATAGACTTTCTTTATTTCTGAAGTCAGAAAATGCAAAAATTCTGCACCCTGTACTTGTCTCCACTTCCCTTGGAGGCACCTAGTCCGGAATGAAAAGGCACTTGATAGGGGATGGAGAGTAGATGGCTCAATGAACAGAGTAACTCGCTGCATGGAGTTCCTATCCTGTGTCTAGATCCTTCTGCACCTAACTAAAAAGAGTTAGGCTGGGTGCAGGGGCATGGGCCTGTGCCTGGAATGCCAGTGCTGGGGGGAGGGGGAGGAGTCAGAGACAGGTAGATCCCAAGGACACTCGAGAGCCTAAATGGGGAGGTCCAGGGTTACTGAGACCCTTTCTCCATAAAAATAAGGTTGATCGTGAGCTGGGAAGTTTTCAGAGGCTGACTTACGGCCTCAGACATGCACATACAGGCAATCACCATGTGCACACATGCAGAGAAGTGACTGATTTTAAGATTTAGAAGCCTTCAGGAGCTAAAAGCCCATTCCTTAGCCACCGCAGCACCCAAATTTACACCGAGGAAGTAGATGTCTCAGGTCTCCTACTGAAGTTCACATGTGTGACAGGCCCCATTTCTCCCCCCCCCCCCCCCCCCCCCCCCCCCCGGCCCTGTACAACACTACCTACTTTTACCTGGTTATTGTCAAAAGCATATTTATTCATCAATGTTTATAGAGTAGACAGTACCAGACACCAAAGGAAAAAACAAACAGTCTTTTCTTCATTAGTGGGAACCAGAGAGATTTCACCATATAGAAACTTAACTGGTATGGGGTTTTTGTTTGTTTGTTTTTGTTTTTGTTTTTTAATATGTGCTCTCCCATCCAAGAACCAACCACATCTAACCTGGATTAGCTTCCAAGATCAGGCACACCAAGGGATGTGTAGCTGTAGACCTGTACCCTGTGGATTTTGGAAATCATACTGTACTGGCAGGTACTGTGTGTCTACATGGCACAGCTAGAGTCATCAGAGAGAGAAGCCTCCGTTGAAGAAATGCCTCCATGAGATCCAGCTGCAAGGCATTTTCTCAATTAGTGATCAATGGGGGAGGGCCCAGCCCATGGTAGGTGGTGCCATCTCTGGGCTGGTGGTCCTGGGTTCTATAAGAAAGCAGATTGAGCAAACCATGGGAAGGAATCAAGTCAGTAAGCAGCTCCCCTCCATGGCCTCTGCATCAGCTTCTGCCTCCTGGTTCCATCCCTGCTTGAGTTCCTGCCCTGAATCCTTCCAATAATGGACTATGGTCTGGAAGTGTAAACTAAATAAACCCTTTCCTACCCAACTTGCTTTTCAGTCATGGTGTTTTGTCAAAGCAGTGAAAACCCTAACTAAGACACATACTATTAACCAGATTTTGAAATTGAACCTTGACTTTTAGAACGCCTCACACACTTTCAAGTGTCTCTGATGATCCTGCTCACAGCCTTAAAACACCAAGATAATTTACCCCACACACCTTGTCAAGTACCTTTACTTCTTTACAAGGTACTTTTGATGGATAATGCTTTCTTAGAGTTTTTTCATTAAAGAAAATTAAAAACCAATGCTGATTGTTATTTAATACACTGAGGTGTGAGCTCTTTTCATTTGATTGATTCCTTGATTTAACTGGGCTTTGTTGTATTTGCAACAGTGACTCTTCTTTAAATGAAAATCCCTGGGAAAGTAGATTGCGGAGAAAGTTTCTATTTAAATACCATTTCAGAACTATTTTGCAATGATAATAACTATGGAACATGCAAAGTTAACACTGACATTCTCAGTGTAATTAATGATAATTATATTCAGGTTTTAAAGTCTAAATATCAGAAAGCAGCTTTTCTGCTCAGGAACTCAATTCGGGGTTGCCAGATGAAAAAAATAATTTGTTTTGAAATTTTCCTGGTGTTCCGTAAGGTTCCATACTACTTTATTTAGAAGATAAATGTTCATACCTAGTGTGTATAAAAATTAAATTCCATTAACATCTATTAAACGTCAGTCCCCTGGGTATCTAGCCTTGTAAAAGTCGAGCATATATAATATTAATCTTAAAATGCTAAATATGTCTCACCTCTGTTTAAACCACAAGCAGA